ACTAGACCATTAGACCCAGTTGCATGTTATGTATCTGTTCTTCCCGGATGGTTCTTAGCTCTCGTATCCTCGCATTTGCCATACTTTCCCTCGGCAACCTCATTCACCCCAACTTATCATCTCCTCCCCATATGATGCCAACACTTACATATCATCTCTGGACCGGTCTCCTTGTAGTACACAAAACTCAGCTTCCTTTGCCTAAGGCTCCACTTAAGCTCCACTTCTCTGGAACCAGACTTCCCATCTAACTCATACAATTGCTCCTCCTGCTGTATTTCCTATTTGTTGTAAGGGCCCCGACCATTTTTCTCTTCTGGTCAAATCCAGGCAGAAAATATAGACATAACCTGAGACTTATCACTTGCATTTAGCTGGCCACGAGATTTTCTGGTCCTTTCCTTTTCTCCTAGCCCCTCAGGTCTTCTTGAGTTCTCATGATCTGAAACTGGCCCCCTCATCTCCAGTCTTACCTCCTCAAGGCTACTAGAATGCACTTCCAAACTCATAAGACCAAGCAAGACTGGCTTCTTTGGTCTTTCAGTGAGCATAACTCATGATCTGTTGCCATCCCATGCTCTCATGTACCTCCAGACTCTTGCCCATGCTTGAGTTCATAAAACAAAAACAAGGAATCACAAGCCTTAATGCCTTTCCCCAGGCTCTTCCCTCTTTCTGGAACAAGAATCATCCCCACCCCCTCCCCTTCCCCCTGTCAGGCTAGTAAATCCTGACTCTTCCTTTAACCTCACTTTAAAGTCTTTCATAATCCTTCTTTGGAGAGATAATCAACCTTGCTCTGTATTCTCCTGGCATCCTGTGCTTGCTTAGAATTTTTTCATTGTTGGGGCACCTGGGTGGCTCAGTGGGTTAAGCCTCTGCCTTTAGCTCAGGTCATGATCCCAGGCTCCTGGGATCAAGCCCCCGTATTGGGCTCTCTGCTAGGTGGGGAGCCTGCTTTCCCCTCTCCCTCTCTGTCTGCCTCTCTGCCTACTTGTGATCTCTGTCTGTCAAATAAATAAATAAAATCTTTAAAAAAAAAAAGGAATTTTTTCATTGTATTAATTAGAGCAGGTTAGCCATAGTAACAAATAGTGTCTAACATGGGCACCTTCCAACACAGTAACTGTTACTTCTTGATCATGTTACAATATGAGGTAAGGGAACAGGTCATGGGACGGCCTTCCTGCATACAGTCATTCAGGGAGCCAGGCTAATGGAACCTCTGACACCTTTAACAATTGACGTCAGGATTTCCCTGAGGCTGTCTCCATTCCAGATGGACCTGAGGGCAAAAGAGCACAGAAGGAATGTGGGAGACTTTTATGAGTAGTCCTAGTGTATCACCAGTCACTTCGACAAACTAAAACTCAGCCTTGGCCACCTTCACTACAGAGGAGGCTAGAAAATGGGCTTTAGGCATACCAGTGATGAGGAAAAGATGATAGCTTTTGGTGAGCATCTAGTAGACTCTGTTACATCCATGTATGCATGAGACAGTGCCCTGAAAGGAAGAACTCTATCCAATAATACAGGTCCTAGTACTTGGTAGTACTTGAGTAAATGTGTGTACATATGAATAACTGAAAAAAAAAAACCCAAATGAATAAAAGATACTACTTTGGATGGATTGACTAATTGATCGGTCGATTTAAAGATTTTATTTTTTTATTTGACAGAGAGAGACACAGTGAGGGGGGAAACACAAGCAGGTGGACTGGGAGAGAGAGAAGCAGGCTTCCTGATGTGCAGGGAGCCCGATGCGGGGCTCGATCACAGGAACCTGGGATCATGACCTGAGCTGAAAGCAGACACTTAATGACTGAACCACCCAGGTGCCCCACTACTGGATTTAAGTAATCATTTTGAAAATCAGTTTGAAATAGAAGTCTAAGATTTACATATTTATATATCTTTATATATTTATATATCTCCTTCATTGTAACAGTATTTCTAAAACACACAGACTATAAAAATTATTATCCATGGTTTGATAGATACAGATATTCAAATCTAACTTAATAATGATCAAATTAATTTGGGTACTTTAAATTGCCTAATTAGTAATATTGTTCATGAATAGAAATTAAATTAGAAACAGATAAGCACAGGATATCTATAGGGAGAAAGTGGTTATAATTACATTTCTCTAACTTGTATGTTCTCATCTATTCTCAATATTGAATTTTAGCTTAATTAAGACCTTCTGCCTTAGTATCACATCAAAGTATTGGGGAAGTTGAGCATCTTGGTAAGAGTTGTGAGTTTTATAAATGTCAACATTCTTGGGAAATACAAACAGGCTGAAATGCTTTCTAAATCACATACACAGCTATGATTGAGAATTAAAACCTAAACCAAATGAACTAAGTGTTTGCTGATTATTCTTCCTTTTTGTAGCATTGCATCTTCAGTCTTTGTGTTTGACATCTCAAACACAGCATATTTGAGTTGTTTGTCTCTTTCTTTTATCAGTTTAACAAAAGAAACCTGTTTTTCATAGGCATGAATTTCTCCCAAAGAAAATGCACAGAAGTTGATTAGTCTCTTCATATTTTTAGCTTTTAAAGACTATGACATTGCCTGACAAGGTGGCCACCATTTTGAATAATGGAGTTAGAATTAGAAAGAGCCTAAGATTGCTGGAGAAATGATTGATGAAACTTCAGTAGCGATCAGCATACATTAGTCCTTTTGCAAAGAGTGACACAAAAACACATCAATTCTAGATCACTTTAAACTCAGGTTGTGATCTTTTTGAGAAAAAGCTGCACAAGTGTGGCTACTCTTTATCTGGAACTTGAATGGCTGTGAGGAGTCCTTGAGCACAGGGAGGTGAATTTGGAATGAGCCCAACCGAAAGCTTCTGATCGGGGACGTTACAGGGTCAAGACAGGTTTTGAAGTGTATGTAACTACAGACTCCAGGAATGATTGACCCTGATAAGAAAAGAAATGAGAAGTTTAATTTTAAGTGTAACAGGAATAAATTAGGTTACCCAGAAGGATCCATTTCCAAGAATTACCTGCAATTCTACCTCTGCTTATTCAGTACTGGCTAATTCTTACGAAACAGTGTAGGCAAAGAAACAAGATAACCTCTCATCGACCCTGCCTCTTGATGATTATATCAATTTTCGATTGCTGCATAACAAATTACCACAGATTTAATGGCTGAAAACAAGACACAAGTGTTATCTCACAGTTTCTGTAGGTCAGAAGTCTGGCAGCCATGGCTAGATTCTCCAGTCAGAGTCTCACTGGGCCACAATCAAAGTATTGGCAAAGATGTAGTTCTCCTCTGGAGCAAAGGTCCTCTTCCAAGCTCTCCATTTTTGGCAGAACACATTTTCCTCTCACGCTTCCCCTGTGCCTCCTGCCTTGATCTTCAAGTCAAAAATGGCAGGTCAAGTCCTTGTCATACTTTGAACCTTTTTGACTTTCTCTCCTGCCCTCAGCTCAGAGAACGTTGTTTTTAAGGCTTCCTATGATTACACTGGGCCCACTTGGATAATCCGGGATACTAACCCTATTTTGAAGTCAGCTAATAAGTAAGCTTAATTACATCTGCCAAGCCCCTTTGCCATGTTAAGCAATATATTCACAGATAGGATACTAGGGAGTTGGGGGGCCCAAGACTCTGTCTACCCCAGTGATACTGACTATGCTGTATAACAGAATCCATTTACATATAAATTACAGAAAATTCTATTCCTTTCCAATGAGTTTAAGGATTAAAATTATTTGAATTTATTATGAATTATTACAGACATTGAAGAAGGCATAAATTAATAATATGAATAGCCACGTATTCCTAATGATATTACCGATACCATAAAAAGGTGTGCAATTTAAAATATATAAAAATTAAATATTATACTAGCATGAAGATAATGCAATACCCATTTACAATATCTATTACGGACATTATAAATATGGTCAAAGAATTTCATGTATGTTAAAAGCTGAAATTTTTAATTGTTCCTTGAGGAGAACGTGCTTTTGATAGTAACTATGGCTGTCATCTGTTGATTACTTCCTCTAGGTCAGTCACTGTATGCTTTCCATGTATTAAATGTATTTAATGTAATAAGTATATTTCCATGTATCTCCTGTCTTTTCAGCAACCCAGTCATGCTGATATAAGTCCTGTCTTATAATGTGTAGGCAAACAGGTTTGGAGAAGTAGTGGGAAGCCTGGGTGAATCCACAGCCCCTTGAATTTATGGGAGTTGTACTCAACGATGTGTCCTCCGCCAGAGGTTTGAGGACCTCAGTAGCACAATGTGATAATGAAAAGAAGGGAGTTTTAGAGTCAGACCCATATTTGAGTCCTCATTTCATCACTTACTAACTTGCCAAATTCCTGAAACCTCTTTGCCTCCAGTTCCTAATTTGTAAAGTGTGGCTAATAACAGACACCTCCTGGGGCTGCTGTAAGATAACACGGGTAAAGAACCTGGTATGTGATAAGCTCTAGATAAAAGTTCTCCAGTGCCTCCCTCCAGAGTAGCTGACGGGCATCTGGTTCTAAAGTACTTGAATAACTCAGGAAGTCAGTTGTGGGCTCAGGCCAGCTTCTTCTTATCTGGTAGATAGTTAACAGGACATCAGGATTCACCTAGATACTCATATCCGTGGAAATAGGGATTGATCCCTGGGGGTCCAAGATACCTGGGTGGCGTATACATTAGGATAGCCCGATAGAATAAAGCTACCCTTGACCTGGCCTCAAAGATAACTTACGATCTCTGATTTTGGCAGTCAATAAAGAGGTGCCAACTTAGCAGCGGACTTCCCTGGCATCCATCCAAGGAGCCACATGCCAGAACACTCTAGGGGCTCTCACATTAATATGTATTTGCGTGCGTTGTTTTTGACTGCTGTAATCGGACTTGAAATGCATCCAAGAAGTTTCTTCAACTCAGAGACATTATTTCCTCAGTGTCCCCTCCCTCCAGGCTCTGTCTGAAGGCTTAATTGGCTATCTTATCTCCCTAGGTATGCGGAGACCAAAGCCAAGGGGCTGTTTTCCTGAGGGAATTTACGCTAATTCGGCGAGAGAGCCTTCATGAAGATTTCCTGTCTGACCTCTTGAATAGTCACAAAACTGAAGACCTGGTAGAGTGTCTCTTTTATTTCTTCTTAGCAACACTGAAGTTCATTTGGCGATTCTGACTTGCGGTGGTGGTTGGTTTTAGCAAATGTGAAGAGGTTTGAATGGCATTTTCTCATATACATGAGGAGAGGCAAAGTGAGAGCTCAGTGGATAGACTGTGGGGGCAGCTTTCTACCCCTTCCTGGGTCTGGCTAGCTGCAAACCTTTCAGTCCAGCGTTTAAGTTTGTCTGGGGCAGCCTGCAAAGGATTCACATGAAAATCACTGATGTTTTGCCAGTGAGTCTGAACAAGAAATGGTAGTAATTTAAATGAGTGAAGAAGGAAAAAGGAGATTTATATATAAATTGTTTGATGAGTCAATGGAAATTCCACCATCTTCCCATCCTGGTTTATTTGTGGCTATTTTTACTTCAAAGTGTTAGTCATATTTATTTTATGAAAGTTTGTTTCTCTGGTGGTGGTTTTGAAAAAAAAAAAACAACAAAAAATTGGAAGTCTCCATAATGAGCTCTGAAATGAAAACAAGTAGCATAGTTGACTGATGTCAAGAGCCAGGATCTTCTCTACTTGCAAATAAAGCTGTAATTTGTCATCTGTGCTTTATTGTGAGAATCGGAAAGAACTTCTGAAAGTTTTAAGTGTGGCTCTTCAGGGTGGTGACCTTGTGCTCGGAAGCGCTCAGGCTGGAATTAGAGGAGCCCAGTGGATTTCCTTTGCAGTCAGAATATAATGACTTAGGCGGGTGCCTGGGGGGCTCAGTCGGTTGAGCATCCGCCTTCGGCTCAGGTTATGATCCCAGGATCCTGGGATCGAATCCCACATTGGGCTCCTTGCTTGCCGGGAGACTGCTTCTCCATCTGCCTGCTGCTCCCCCTGCTTGTGCTCTCTGTGTGTCTCCCTGACAAATAAATAAACAAATAAGTCTTTAAAAAAAGAAAGAACAAACGAAAGAAGAAAGAAAGAACATGTCCAAAGCAAACACACAAGTGGCTTTCTTTATACCTCCTCTATCCCGCCTCCTATAGCCTCTCTCAAGAGGGCGTTTTGGGCACATTTATCTCATAAACTTCTCTTCTAGTTACTGAATAAATCCGTTTTCTTGGTGGCCACTTGCAGCCACCACTTACTGTTTCTGTCATTTCCATCTTCTCTATGAAAGACGTTCACATTCTTCTCAAAGCTTGTGCCCCAGCATGGGCAGAAGAGTGGTAAAGATTCCCAAGGGTACTATAATTAATTTTCATAAGGTTTATATATATATATTTCTCAGTAAACTCAGAAAATGCAGAGCCGGCCTTTTAAACTTTTATTGTTTGCTTAAGGCTTTTTTTGTGTGATCTGCTATGGTACACACACGTTCCCACCTAAGTTTTATTACTTCTTTCTCAGAACATTATCTCATAATTATCTTTAAATTTTGTCCCACTTGATGTTATGCAAATCTGAAATATGTTAGCTCACTTTGGATTGGGTCTATGAAAAGGTCAAGTAAGTATTGCTCTGTGGATACCATGGACAAACCTCAGAAGCAAGTCTAATTATTACATAATTTACACCATAAAGGAAATTGAATAATATTAACTAATTATGAACGTAATGGAACTGTGATAGTGATGCCACGAAATACAATTTTTGTCACGTGGCAAGCATTGAGGGGTGTTGCCAATGTTTGGTTACATACTATTATCTGGATTTGCATTGTAATAAAAACTGTTCATGCCCCAGAGTTTTCTCAAACCCACGGACATTGTAAGAATGGAGGGGAGGGGGTGGAAGCATTTAACCTGAAAGAGGAATTACCTACCAGCATAAATAGAAGTGGGGCTGTGCAAGAAAATGGGAAGGAAGAGAAAAGATCAAAGCTTCCTGAATACCAGAAGCTAATCCAGTTTCCTAATAAATTTGTGAAATTCTGTCAATTTCTTTGGAAGGTATATCTATTTGAGGACTTCTTTTGGCCCCTAGGATATAAATCTTTTAAAATATGAGTTTAGGGGTGCCTGGGTGGCTCAGTGGGTTAAACCTCTGCCTTTGGCTCAGGTCATGATCCCAGGGTCCTGGGATGGAGCCCTACATCAGGCTTTCTGCTCAGCAGGGAGCCTGCTTCCCCCACCACTCCCCCGCCTGCCCCCGCTTGCCTCTCTGCCTGCTTGTGATCTCTGTCTGTCAAATAAATAAATAAATAATCTTAAAAAAAATAAAATATGACTTTATTTTTCTGAAGAGGCATTAAAAGATGAATCACCGCTCGCTGTGTTTGTCTAAGGGGAAGAGTTCAAACATGAATTGTTACTTGTAGCATTAGCCAGGACCCGGAAACTCCTTTTGTGGCCCAGATGTATGAATCTCTGCTACATTGTGAGGAGGCTCTGAAGCGGAATGGGAGAATCATCAATGAGAAAACTTCCTGGTATAGGTCACAAAAACCACTTCCCAATGGTTGAGCATAATCTGTCCATTTCTTTTTTTTTTTTTTAAAGATTTTATTTATTTATTTGACAGACAGAGATCACAAGTAGGCAGAGAGGCAGGCAGAGAGAGAGAGGAGGAAGCAGGCTCCCCGCTGAGCAGAGAGCCCGATGTGGGGCTCTATCCCAGGACCCTGAGATCATGACCTGAGCCGAAGGCAGAGGCTTTAACCCACTGAGCCACCCAGGCGCCCCAATCTGTCCATTTCTATCTGCTTACAAGCGAGTCATCATTAGTAGCCCAGTGGTAGTCATATTCACTCCTCCTACTGGATTAGCAGCTCTGCTCCTTGAGGTCGGGATCCATGCTGAGGCAAATATGCACGAGAAGGGCCTTATATATGTGAAAATCTGGGGCTCCTGGATGGCTTAGTCGGTTAATCGTCCAACTCTTGATTTTGGCTCAGGTCATGGTCTCAGGGTCTGGGATTGAGCCCTGTGTTGGGCTCTGCTCAACACGGAACCTGCTTATCTGTCCCCTCCCCCTGCTCTCTCCCTCTTGCTCTCAAATAAATAATAAATAAAATCTTAAAGAAAAAAGTGAAAATCCTTCTAAATGCAAAGTATTTTTATTAATTGCATGAATGACTTCAGTTTTTAATGAAGTGATGAAAGAACATTTGGGATTATCGTCCATGATGTTCTTTCAAGCCAGTATATAAGTTTATAATAAAGAATATGAAGGCAGGGGGATTGAAAATTTATAGTTGTGGAAGTAACAAATTTATCCCAGTATGTATAACATTTTGGGCAGAAGTAGCATTAAGTGTAAGAAACACCTTGTCACACTATTCGGTAAAATTATTGCTATCCTCATTTTAAGTCTTTAATTTTTCTTCTCTCATGCTCTTTCTTTTATTCTTTCAAATAATTTTTGAAAACCAGAACAGCCTGACTTAACAGACTTGTGGAAAACTCTTTTACCTAAAACTTTATTTTGGTCATTTTTGACCTTAAAGTGACACTTCCTCAACCAAGACCTTGTGGCACAAATTGTCTTCTACATTGCATTAGGAACACTTTCTAGTTTACTACTAGAAACTTTCTCTCCAAGGGCTAATTCCATTGTCCATACTTTGAAAAGCAGAGTAAGGGAGCTGTTTCAAAAGCCATTATTCAATATTGGAATAGTCGAGAAACAGGCCCTGTTGGCTTTGGTTGTCAGCTGGATACAAAATTAAGATGATAATTAACATGAAATTCACTACAGAATGAGATTTCCTTCAGTAGGTAGTTTAGTGCAAACCTCACTTGCCTGCAGACTTGTGGTTCACCAAGCAGTTTTTTTAAGCCACTCTTGTACCTTTGTACAAAATGAAAGTCATTTAAGCGGTTTCTTATTTAATAATACTTTATTATAAAATAAATCATAAGTTATTTCAATCAAGGGTAGAGTGTTCCTGTAATGACTGGGAAAATAGAGGTGAGCTTTCAGGAGAGGGACCCTCAGAAAGGCCTATTTTTTCATAATCATGTGTGAAAAGGGAGTTTGTTTTCAAGGTCAAGTCAGTAATTCTCTGAAGCTCGACTGAAATAAAAAATCCAATTGATTAAAAATGGTTCTGTTTTAAAGTAAATTATTTTTTTCTTCCTTAGTTGAGATGGGGGAACTGGTGGGGACAAGTATTATTTCTATGAACTGAAAAATGAGTTCAACCAACACATAAACACTTACATAAAACATAATATAACCATTCCCATATGTTCTCAAGGTGTTCACCAACCTCCTCCCCAACATGCCAAGAGAGAGGAAACAGTGGAATTTAACTGCTAACATCTGAAGATAATAACTTCATTGCTTAATTGTACTTCTAAGCCTACTACTATTTTTTGAGTATTTATTGTACATAAATACAAGGAAGTAGCCCTGTGTCAATAGCATTTAAGTTACTGAATGTGAGCAATTAAATGTTTTTAACACAAATTTAAAAATGTGTTGATCTCTCAAGCAGCATCTTCCCACCTGCCCTGATTCCACACCCTCTGGACTTTTCCTAAGACTGCGGTTGGATCTACCTGTCTCCCCTCAGTGCTTATGAAATAAGGAGAAACAGGAATTAACTTTTCATTACAAACACACAACACTCAAAGTGGCACACAGCTTCATAAAGTCTTATTGATTAGCGACTAGTGCATTTTTTTTTCTTAACTGATTTTATGCAGAGAAGAAATGCGCGGTGATATTGAAGGAGACAGGTGTTTTAAAAGTGGAAATGCATTCCCATTCAGTCTGTGATTTTTGTGACATCCTTATGGGTGTAACTTGAATTGGCTATCCCATGGGAAGATATACTGAGACAGAAAGACTAGATTTGGTTTCTAGTACATTTGCTACTTCAAGTTATATAATATAATATCACTGAGAAAAAAATCAGAACACCCTACAAAGTATATATAATATGTCACCCTGTGAGGGTTTTAAATATTTTATGTGCCTGCGTTTGTAAGACCTAGCTAATGCATTCTGACTCTACTGGTCATGAACTATTGAAAAAAAATACAGTAACTTCAGCATATGAATATTTTATATAAC